TCCACTACACAGTTCTCATGAAAATACCCCATCTCAGATAAAAAGGGTATGATTTATGTAAATATTATTGTAAATTTATGTAAATATTATTGTAAATTTATGTAAATATCTACATACATATTTACATATTTAGTTACGAATTATGTACATATATAAGTAATTTTAGTAAAATTATATGTAAAATTTTACCTTTTTATTAATAATGTAACATGAAAATCTAAAAACGTGATGCTCTTTCCGGTCTTATATAGCTTTTGTCGCCCCTTATAGTTACTGGAAAGCATATGAGAGCCAGATACGGTTACAGCTACATATAGCATCAATTACACTTATTCAATTACAATACCCATTACAGTTATACAAAGACCAGACCAAAATGGCGACAAGTGGTCGTCACGTTTGGCGACTCTTGGTGATTTCTTGCCAAATAATATATATATATATATATATTTGGCAAGAAATCACCAAGAGTCGCCAAACGTGACGACCACTTGTATATATATATATATATATATAAATTGTAGTAAGCTCGCCTAAAAGTTACCAAGAGCTACTGCTCCAAAAGGGTTCAACACGTTTTAAAAAAATTAATACATATGAAAATCAAACCATTAGACATGTAAAACATTAAAAAAACAGAAACAGATAAAAAGTAAGCGGAAAAATGGTAAATTAGCCCAATTCGACTTCCAAAACTGGCTTTTCAAAGGGCAAATTTCATTTATTTGAACGTCGAATCAAGCCAACCCCATTACGCGTTTCGCCGAAACAGACAATTGAAACTTTTTCGCTAAAAATTTTTTTAAATTTAGACAAAGTGTCTTGGAAATTTTAATAGTCTCAATTCTCTGTTCCAATTTTCCCGACGCGTTCCGCACAGAATGACACATTAAGGTGTTAAAATATGTTAAACAAAACCTAAACTTCCTAAATCTAGACTAAAATCAAAATTAAAATAAAAATAAAAACGAAATATAATAGCGATGAGCTATTAGTCCTAAAATACAAAAACATACGGGTGAGCCTGCAAGCTTAAAGATTAACAATTTAATTTTTAAATTATAGATTTTAGAAATCTGTAATGAAAAACTTGTAATTAAATAAAATAAAACAATCTATATATATATATATATGTATACTAATTTTTGTCGATTGCAATGTATATATATATATCTATATATGTTGTGTGTTGTGTGTGTGTGTGTGTGTGTGTGATGTACCAGCTTTTGTCCGGAAATAATAGATTGGTGAAGAAATATAGATGTAGTCGTAGCTTAAATTATCAGACGATAAGTTTAAAAACAGTATCCATTTATTATTGGTCAGGAGAAATAGCAGTTACAAAATCATATTTCCGGAGTAAATAAAAAAGAATTACTAATAACTTTTTGTATGAAGTTTACTGCATCGTTACATTAAAGAAAAGACCCCGATGTTCCTTTGAGAGTCCTTTTATAGCTTCTGGAAAGGCGGAGCTTCCAAGAAATGACGTCAGCCTCGTCAGCCATTCCAGTTCGCTTTAAATATTTCCAAAACATTCTATAACTGTACGTGTAGAAAAGGCGGGAAAAACAACTTGACTTCGGAGCTGTGGATTTAATTCCACGTACTTTCAAAATAGAGACTGTCGCCATTAAAAATGAAAAGAACATACAGTTAGAATTTTAAGTGTAATCTTGACTATGGAATTTTATTATTACAAAATATATACATTGTAAATTTATATACATATATTTACACTGTAAATTTATATATATATATATATATATTGTAAATTTAAACCTAATTAATTTTTAAGTTAATCCTATTTGGTCTTTCTGGGCCTCCGATGAATTCTCATCTTCGCCCTTATCTAGAATTCTAAAGTATAAGAAACATAGACAAGAGATAAAATCCTAACTAAACATTTTACTAAAACTATGTCTTGTAGTACAATTAAAATTTAACAAAACTTAGCCACCACTATCTGCAAGAATTTAGGAACATAAATCCTTTAACGTTATTCAGCGCAATGTTACAAGGTAGCAAAACGTTAGCAACAAGGTAGCTACTGCGAATTTCGTAGCACTTCTAAAATGAAATCTTGTTGGAGAGTTTTGTTCATGTGTGCGTATGCTGCACATCTAAGAAGAGTTTGTCACTTGGCATATGTGGTTTCTTCCCTCACCTACCCATAGGCCACTGACTGTTACACTTCAGCTTATAAACATTTCACCGGAAGTATTACACAAAAGTATAGTTTTGCTGCCTGGTTGATAATTAAGCCCTAAGGCGTATGACAGTAAGAATTTACTGGCGTGGTAATCTCACTATGAAGAAAACGGAGGTTAAGGAGAAAATGGGGAGAGGCTTGAAGTCCGAGATCGAAGAAACGGTCTGAGACCTGTTAAACTTCATGATGTAAATTCTTAAATACTACGTATTTTCTTTTCTGTTGTGCTACCTGGATTAAACACCATCGCTTGGAAGCTAACATTCTTCTCAAAGTTGGCAGCACTCAGTTTCCATGAAGCCTACCTGGATTTTCTTTTGGTACTATAGACCAACACCGCCTCGAAGAAATGTCTAGAAGGTGGCCAGACGCGTGACGGTCCTAGCTGTTACAGAGGCAAGGCGCATCTTCTCTTCTTTTCGCCATCCAAGACCTCCCACGAGAGTCTTTTCGTGCACCATTCAATTTCGGGTTCTGTAAGGAAATCTATAATAGCTCTGGAAAATAGTGCTTAGGCTGTAGAGCCCCAGATTTACACTGTAGTATCGCAGTATCACAATATTAACTTTAAGGTCAAACTATCCGTAAGCGTTAATAAGTTCAGGAAAAACTCTCCTCACAATCAGATTGGCAAACAAGCGGACAATTCCCGGAGTAAACTGCTTTTTCGTTGCGCTATCAAATCTCGCTTTTTATATTGTACATTAACTCGCTGGTTGAACTCCATTTAATTTACATTCAAGTGAAGGCTGATGGAAGAAAATGAAGTTACAGAAAATCTGCCTGTGAAACTTCGGTCCATTTCTTTCTTTATCCTTCGTTGGATCTTTTTTTTCTGGATCATATCAGTTGGTCGATGTTTCTTCAAGGGTTAAAGTGTGTTCCTAGCTATTAATTGTTTATTTGCAGGTATACAGATTAACTGTTCAAGTACATCCCCTTGTTATTAAGCTTTTTCTGAACTTAATTTGTAAGGGACTTTGCATTCTTTTTGATCAATTTTAATTTTTTTTCATCATCCCAGCACTTTGTATGTTAGAAATTTTAATACGAACGGATACTAATATAGAGAAAGATGTCGATTGCTTAAAAGTTGCTTTTATTGCTTCGATCCTGTTTTGGATTTCAGGTGCAGAATGGCAATTATATCTTCGATGCTCAGGAATATCCCTGTTCCACTGTTTGAAATGTATAAGCAGTCTCATGTGATAATTTTATGAAACACATTCTAATTCATTACTCGGATACTGAGGCTATATACTATTACTCTCTTAAGAAATTCTTGAATAGATTAATTAATGTTACTTCATAGTTCTGGAAATAGAATGTAAATGAATTTCGTTCTTCAACAGAAATATATATAACAGGAAACTAATATTTTAAAGGATGCTTAGCAATAGGAATAGATAACTAAAAAAATGTATATTTGTTGAATGAGCATTGGCACCATTATCGTTGTAGGGAATGTGCCTTTATTTAAACGCAATTTATGGAAAATCATCCAAATACACATGTCAGCATCGCTGTATCTAAAATGAAACGAAAAAGAATTATTATTAAGAAGGCTATAAAATATCCTTTTATTTACAGCTAAGTAACAGAACGCACATTCTACAATAAGTAGAACGTTGTACTAGTAACATACAAATCAGCCAGCATTTATTCATGAACTCAAATGTAGAATCTTTGAAAACCAAAACACCCGAGCCGGCCTTTCGTTCAAACGACGACAATCGCTCGAAACGGCCGACATTGCGATGTTTTTTTCTTTTCTCCTCTTGAAGTATGCAGTAGCAGGTGCGTTTTTCCAAATGAACCTGCTACTGCATACTTAACAGGTTATTGTAGATATTGCAATAAACTGATAAGTGATATTGCAGATGCTGATTATCAGTTTATTGCTGAACTGTTCTGAAGTTTATTAGATGATATCAGTTATCAGTTTATTGCAGACAGCTTGTCCTAAAAGATTAATGGAAGCTTCTTTGTTAGGAAGTAGAAAGGCTGTCATTTATGCGTTAATGGACGGAGAAAGGAGGAAATAAACGGGAAGCGTAGTGAACGTGGACAGGCGTTTCGGAATTTTAACCATACAGGTTAGCGAAGTCTTTGGTTTTCTAAAGGTTAAACTCAGAAGTTGGCTCTTAACTTACACCAGCGTGACAGCGCTATCAGCAAGAATAAAGCTACATCGCAGACAGGAACGCTTAACTTAGAATAACTAGTAACGAACACGCTCTGTCTAAACAATCTCAAACCCTCACTTAAATACACGCCAGCTACTTTGCCTTCTCGTAGGAAAACAGAAAGAGAAAAAGGGTAGTACAGATACAAAACATAAAATAACTGCTTAATTAACATAAATAATGCGTACATCCTCACAATAAGCATTCAAAGTTCAAATGGTTATATCCGGATGACTTAACAAATGCACTCTAGAATTTCAGAATTTCTTAGAATAAATATGTGCCGATAGAGAGTTTAATCAAAACTCTAAAGGATTATCTGGCTGCTTGTACTTGAAAATACAATCTGTTGATTAAATCTTTTCACTTAACAATCAGAAATGCATACTAAGTAAAATTATAATCCATTATAAGGTAGTGTTGCAGCCAATAAAGGGGCTTTAAAAAATGTTTCTTCTTTCTTCGTGTTACGGGGGCGTATCTGGGAGTTCTTCAAACATCTTTCAGCAAAAAAAAAAATAAAAAAAATAAAAATAATAATAATAATAATAATAATAATAATTTCAAGCAAAATGATAAAATGATTCATTTTCGTTTTATAGGTAACGCAGAACTTGCTAATCATGAGTCGTCTGAGCTTATTCTTCTTCTCCGTCGGACTGGCAGCGGTTCTTATTACTATCAGCAGCAGCGCCCCCTCTCACTCACGGCAGAAGAGGGGTTTTCGCAATGCTGCTCTCTCCACTGCAAGAGGTTTCGGGAAAAGAATGCAGCAATCTGGAACACTCGAAGAACTGGGATTGCACAGTGATTTCAACAGGTACGTTGGCAATAAAAATATTTGTCTTTTGTCAATACTTAGATAAAATTGTAAAAAAGATATTTAATAGTAGGCTTAGATAGACAATAGGCTTAGATACATAAACAATATATTTAATAATACCTAGATACTTAAATAGTATACTTAATAATACTCAGATAATATAATGTGTAGATAAAAACATACAAAAACTTATCAGACTTCAAGTTTCAGCTGCCATACGAAAAGTAATGCTTTATTTTTACCCCTTTTAAGCATTATGTTTCCCATGAATAGATGTATAAATCGTATTAAATCAAATATTAATTGTATGAAGGTAGGGTAATTGTGTGTATGGTACATGCAAGCAATTTTAATTGATAAAATTAAGAAAACAAGCAACTTTAATGTCGTAATAAATGCAACTGTACGTGCACTTTAAAATGTAAACACTTCATACATAAAAATTTCCACATTTTAAATAAAGTCGAAATAAATTTAGTAATGCAACCTTAAAACCCTCAGCGTATTCCTCCCGCGATTTGAGCGGGATTGTCAATTGTTAGTCCTCTATTACGGTTCAGGTTAAAATCGCGGGCGAAGTTTTTACTTCCATGTGCGAAGTAAAGGAAGTGTTGTAATCGCGAAAAATTTCGGGTAACATTTCAACGAAAATATCCATTTTGACCTCTACCGAATGCAATTTAACGACGTTTTTGCGTTACGCCTGTATATAAGCACAGAATAAAGGACTCCTTTTCCCAAAACGGATTGAAAATATAGATTTAAAATGGATTCAAAAGAAATTTTTTTTCGTGACGTCTGTGTGTACGTATCTCACAAAACTCGAAACGAATATCCTCAGAACGTTGAAATTTTGTATATAAAGCAAGATTGATTTTTTTTAATTTTTTGTATATAACATTAAAGCAAGATTGATTTCACATAAAAGACAGATTGATTTTTAGCCCAAAGGGGCAATTTGCCCAGATGGGTATTAATTTCGTTTTGGCATTTCGTCTTGATTCACTATAAACTGAATCTCTATAAACTGAAGAACTCACTATAAACTGAAGGGAATCTCTTTTTAAATTGTCGCCACCAAATATTAGAGCCCTGTATTATATTTAAAAAAATTAAATAATAAATAATCTGCATAAATGTATGTAAAGAAATTAAATAATGAAGAATCTGAATAATTGTATGTATGTTTCTCGCATTGTGATAAAAGCAAAGGTACTTAGAGTCATCGAATTTTGAATAACGTACATCTCTCCCCGAATATGGGCATCTGGAAGCCAAAATTTGGAATTTGTTTCATTATCTATTTCCTATTTTGTAAAGTATTTATGATATTTTGATTAAGAAAACTCAACGATTTCAAAACGAACAATGGCAACACTTTACGGGGGAAAAAAAGTATCTCCAGCGCGTGAGACTGTGTATCGGAAATTCTAAAGATTAATAGATTCTCTTTTAAATATTTTGTGATATTTCTATCGAAGTGAATTTTATGGCTTAAGTATGAAGAACATGATATTTAATAAATAAAGGTAACACACAAAACGCTAAAAAAAGGCCCTAACAGATCAAAATCGGCTGATAAGTTTTGATTATTTTTACACTAATTAGAATTGTGATTAATAGAGTGAAGGATCACGCTTTTTATAACGTACTTTATAATAATTTATTGCAAGGTTTCAGTTGTTATATGTAAGTATTATATCTAGAAAGGAATAAACTTCTATTCTTTTGGCATTAGCATTCGATTTTATCTATCAAATTCTGACCACAAATTTCATTTTGCAGACCTATGGCTTCCAGCTGGTTGGCAGAACAGATTGCTAGAAGTCCCGCACTGGCAAAGCTTTTAGTAGAAAAAGTTATAGATCAAAATGGTGAGTATCAAGCTTTTTTATTTGTCTGTATCAAAGCAGAAAAAAAGCGTTTCGTTCAACAAATTCATCAGTTCTAAATAGAACACACCTAAAGCGTAAATTTCATCAAACGAAAAAATTAACTGAGTTTTTGGGAAATCATTGCAAGCAAGAATTCCAGCTGTCTTGCGTTTATAAATAAATTAAATAATTTAGTTCTTCATCAAGGGATTGTTTGGAGGAGCAAACTTGAAGAGCAGGGAAAACATAGGAATAAAATGAAGCTAACTTTTGTTTAGTCGGATGACATGATTTAAAGTGTGCTGGAAGGCAAACCGATGAAGGTTTACGGTAAACCGTAGTACTGAAGTTGGAAGTGTTACGTGTGACCAGAATGTCGAGAAACGGAAGAGAATTGCAAGACTGACGTTCAAAAGTGAACTGAATAGCAGAATCAATAATAGATCTCTTCCGTTTCTCGACATTCTGGTCACACGTAACACATCCAAATTCAGCACTACGGTTTACCGTAAACATTAATCGGTTTGCCTTCCACCACACTTTAAATCATGTCATCCGACTAAACAAAAGTTAGCTTCATTTTATTCCTGTTTTCCGTGCTCTTCAAGTTTGCTCCTCCAAACAATCCCTTGATGAAGAACTAAATTATTTAAAAGCAATAGCTGTTGACAGGGGCTTTTCACCTAACATTATTAATCAAACAGTTAAAAAATTCTCTTCTCAAGACACTAAAAGGCACACTCTTGTGTTAGGAGATCATAAAAATTCTGTTGTGATTCCCTTCTTTCCATCAATTAACTATAAAATTGCACATATTTTGCAGAAATTTAACTTTCGGGTCGTTTATTCTTCCATCAATAAAATTCCAAGTTCCATACTCAGGGACCCCATTCCGCATATGAATTCCTGGGATATTTATAGGATTCTTTGCCAGCGTGGTTTAATTTGCATTGGCCAAACTAAGACAGCCTTAAAATTTCGCGTCAAGGAACATGAGGCATAGGTTAGAAAAAAGGAAACACAGAAGTCTTCTGTTGCTAAACATTGTTGATCCGAAAATCACACTTTCAATTTTTATGTTGCCAAAATTATTCAAAAAACATCTTCCGTTGGAGAGCTCGATTTTCTAGAGGCATTTCCCATTCAAAAAAATCTTTCTGTTCTAGTTGACGATCCTAATTCCAATCCAGTTTTGCCTTCGGGCTTTAAAGAAATTATGTTTTAGTTCTGCTTTCATTAACAGATGGTGCCACTAGCTTATTTTCTGTCCAGGCTTTCTTATCTTATCTGATCATTATATCCTATCTCGTTCATTTGTGCTTTTGCAGCTGACGATGGTGGTTCGTTAAAAACATCGAAACTAGTTCTGTGAAAATTTGAAAATATAACTCTGATTTTTGTTGTTTGACTTCTTAATTAGTATTTGTTCGTCGTGTTATTGTGTCTTAATTCTCGGTATTTTTTTTTTCTTTTTTTTTTTTTTCAAATTGTATAGTATTGGTAAGGTAATTTTAGTAAAAGTGAATTGATCTTATATTAAATTAGCATTTTGCAGATGATATTTACATATCACCAGAAAGAAAAAAAAAATTAGCAAAAGGACATTTGTTTGATTAGGTTTAATAATATTTATTAAAGAATATTTTTATACACTAATGGTCTACCCCAACACGTGTAAGTTGATGAAAAACTTTAAAATTCATTTAAATATTGTTAGTTAAAGAAATAGTTTCAGAACATTAGGGAATACATCTCAATAATTAATACACAAATTAGTAGGAAAGATTTCGTAATAGAATTAAGACCAAGGCTTTGTTCAAAGTTGTGAACATTCGCCAATTTGCACAAAGCCGCCAGTACCTTTCATGCTAACATTTCTCTCGCCAAGACACAATGATGGCCTGAAATAAAATTTCTTCCTCTTAAAAATAAATACAGATAGGGATTATGAAGTTGCTTATGTGGGCTCAATAAGCCAGGATAAAGAAAGTTAAGCCTTTGGAGGGCACATGTCTTTGACGAACTAGCAGGAGAAACTCCGATAGTGGTGAAGCAAGGTGGGGAGAAGTCACACCACGCAAAAAGACCAACAAACATCAGCAGTCCAAGCTACATTACGAAATTATAGTCGCTGAACATGTGGGTAGCTAATGGTTGGATCAAATTATTTTCTAGAATGATTTGGTTACTAAGAAGTTCTGATAATTCTGCAACATCACAGCTAAGTCCAGTTTTGAAGAAACGCTTTATTAAGTTTAGTAATACGGTCCACTATAGGGTCGATTTTCAGGTCGTCATAAATCAGTTTGTTTCTGATCAAGTAATGTGCATTGCCAGCCCATTTTGACGTTGACAATCACTCGCCAAGATACAAAGGTGCCTTGACAGAAAAGCACAAATGTCTGGCATCCTTAAGAAGTTCGGTATCACGAAAGAAGCTGCCTCCATTAAAGCTGCCGAGACGGCCATGTGAAAGTCTTTATCTTTGCGAACATTCGCCAATTTGCACAAAGGCGCTAGTACCTTTCATGCTAACATTTCTCTGGCCAAGACACAATGATGCCCTGAAATAAAAGCAAAAATGTTCCTGCAAGCACCCTTAAAGAAATTCCATATCTTTAAAGGGCCGTTCCGACTGGGGTTTATCTGAGTTAACGGAGTCAGTTCGATATGTCGACTAGCTCCGCTATGCCTGCAGTTCAGATTTTTCAACTTGCTGCAATATGCGAAAATTTGGTTTTGGAGATGGGTCGGCTACGTCAGTTGTTTCCGTTAGCTCAGATAAACCCCAGTAGGAACGGCCCTACAACCCTATTTAAGACTGCCGGAACCCTCATGTAGAGATCTTGGGGAACAATTCCCTACTTGCATAATGTTCAAGCATCTTTGTAACATCTTGTTAAATCATCTTGATGGCGGGATAGGAAAGTTCCTTGCTTTTGTGCAATGGAGTAAAGACTTAGATCCAGAAAAGTTTTGAATTTGTGACGAACTAACGATGTCTGGGTTAAGACATTGAGTTTAATACAATTGAATTTCATTAATTTGTTTCTTCCTATGAGTTTGCCTTTTCTTGCTGCATGAATTCTAGTATTATAACTAAATGTTTCATTTTTTTAAACCATCAATATCAGGGAAAAAACCAGCTTCACAGGCTCCGGCGTCTCAGGAGCATATGTTAATAGCAGACGTTGAAAATATTCTTCTTAATTTAGCCTTACTTTAAAGTAACGAAATCATACAGCGATAATGCTCTCGCATCAGCTACATTTTACTTTCTTTCAAAATTTGTTCTACGATAGATAAATTGTAACTGTTGCCACAAATTATCGCCTGAGGGCCTATAAAAGTTCAGATTTATAAATATAACAAATAATTTTCTTTAAAAATATCATCTACTCCTGTAGCAGTAACTTTAGAATTACTTACGGATTTAGAAATTCATTACTCAATGAAAGCGAATGCAAATGTCTGTATACCATTTTCGACAAAATTATCTTAAATATATTTCTAAAAGTGTTTTAAAATGAAAGAATTTTAAAGTCTTATTGTACAAAAGTTAAGAAACGTATTTGAAAAAGTATTGCATACTTAATATCATAATTTAAATATCACTAACAGGGTACTCCAAAGTATGGAGTAATTAATATGTTAGTGATGGCAGCATTTAAAAATAGCATGTATGCCGTAGTTACCTGTTACATGTATTCTCCCTTCTTTGGGCTTAATCAGTAAAATTTGGCAATATTGGTTATGTAAATTGAACAACTATTCATTTTTCTCTTTCGCAGATGTAATGAGAATGAAAAAGAAAGAACAGAAATTCTCATCATTACAGAACCATCTGGTTTTATCTCATTTTTTTTATATCCTCTGATTTTATATATGTAGAGTGAAATATGTATCCTCACCATGGGTGCCTAGTCAATGAAACTGATATTATTGAGCTGAAAAATGTCCCTGGTGGATGTTCCAAACTATCATTTGCTATCACGAATTAATATTGAAAGAGTTTTGGTGTAACAGTGGCGCCGTTTGACACTTTAATTTTTATATTGTTATTCATTTTTTTTTGTTCTTTATGGACAGTTTTCTCGTCCAGGAGCGGTGCAGAGAGGAATCTGAAGACTCAAAGAAATGTAAAGTAATCTTTTAGAATATTATTTTAGTTTGGAATTTCTTAGAATTGAAAGATATGTGTTTATGAACGATAAATTTCCTTTGCTAACAGGACAAGCTGAACGGTTATTAACGTTGAGTTCCATGTATAATTCATCTCTAGTACGCATTATGTATTTTTTAGAAATCATCTTTGGAATGTTAGCAATGAAAACTTTCAATTTCCACACACAGTTTTAGAAACTGTCGAATAAATTCCAAAGACATTTTTAGAAATCGTCTTTGGAATGTTAAGAAATGTAAAGCAATCTTTTAAAATCTTACTTTAATTTAGAAAAGTCATGTGTTCATGAAGGATAATTTTCTTCGCTAATAGGATATACTGAATGGTTATAATTGGCTTAGTTCTATGTTTAAAATATCTCTGTTATGCATTACGCATTTTTTCGAAATCGTCTTTGGAATGTTAAAATTATTCAAAATAAGTTCATTTCGTGCCACAGTATCAAGGTGCTTTAAAGAATTTCGTAGGGGATGAAATCCTTTACTGTATGAAGAACACCAGGAAAACCTGTGTCAGCTGTAGTCCCAGAAAATGTGTCAGCGATACAAAAAAAGATTTTAATTAGTGATAATCGCCGTACCTATTACAGAAGGAACTTAGCGCTGGATCCGCAACAATACATAAAATTATTCGTGAAAAACTGCACAAGAAAAAATTACTTTGTCGTTGGGTACCCCATCAGCTATCAGAACACCAAAATGCATAACATGTCAGAATCAGTAAACCCCTAAAATTACTTAATGATGGTGGACACCACATTATTTCTAAAATCATAACTGGTGATGATACGTACATACCGTTTATTGGCGTTCCAAAACTTCAAAAAAGAACAGTATAGCTCTTTGACGATGACTAGCAAATCAACAACAATGGTGAAAATACAACGAGCAATGAAGAAGTAATTGATACCGTCTTCTTCAGAACTGCATGACTGGTCAGTGCCATTAACTTAGAAAAAGGACAGTAGACAGATATAGCTAATTGATTAAATATTAAATGTCTTTCGAAAATTTTTTAAGAAGAGAAAATAAAGGGACTCACGCTTTCACCATAATAATGCAATTTCTCATTCAGCAAGACTGACCGTTGAATTTCCTCAACAAAAACAAATTAAAGTCATAAAAATTTCACTCTATTCTCCTGATCTTATTACGTGTGAGTTTTGGCCCTTCTTTTTTTTTTTTTTTTTTTTTTTTTTTTTTTTTTAATCCTAAAACAAACAAAAAAAAATTATGTCATTCCGAAGATGAGAATGATGAGGCTATAAAAGCCAATTCAGAATAACAAAAATTACCAATTACAAAAAGTAGATAGCTTGAAACATTTAATATGTGAAAAATTCACCTATAGGAATTAATTGATGTTAGAAAGGACTGCTTTGAACACTCCTAAGATTTAGTGAGATTGTACTTGTACCATTGTTAAGATGATAATCTCAAACATTTCAGTGTGACTCTCGTAAAATTGCTAAGCAGGAAATATCTCGGCTTTTTCGAGGATATTTTAATGTAACTGTATGCGATGGCATACTTTATGAAAAATAAAATGTTTCATGTAACAAAAATTACCATTAATGAAGAATAATGGAAATTATAACATGGCCACAGTCACATCACATTCTGTAGCATACACACTTCCTTTCATTCCATCTTTCTTGATTATAACCATATATTTTGCTAATTTAATTATTTTCTTGCCTTATAGATGCATTTTCTAGCCATTTTTAAATTCATAGTTATCAAAAGAATTATTCTTATTAGTTGCTTTTTATTACAGGTGACGGAATGATCAATCCAGATGAAATGTTTCAAGCTCTGTAACAGAAAATGAAATTCAGAATGGAATATAAAGAATCCCATATCGTTCTTGGATTTTTTCCTTTATCTTTGGGAGATATTTCATATTAAAGTATTAAGAAATTTTGGAAAATATGCATTATATCGCATTAAATTTGCATTAGTAATAAACAAAGTGAAAACTTCAATTTTAGACTTTTGTTTGATTAGAATCCGTTTTATGTTAATACTGATAAAAAATTATATTACATTTGACATATATCCAGTGTATATACGAATGCAAAAAATAAAAGAAAATTCTCATTGAAAGAATAAATAAAATGTTTTGAAAACGATTACAATCCATTTTCTTTATTTTTGTCTCAAAAGGCTAATATGCGAGGAGTTATAAAGGTAGATTCACACTTCTCTAAGACACTTTAAACATTTTGTATACTCCTCTTAAAAGTGCTGCAGATCTGTCTCAATGAAAAATGCCAGTAAGACCAAGCAACAGTTTTAACCCTTTCCGGCACGCTACCTTTTAAAATTGGAGTTTTAATTTTTAAAAAAATGGGGGGTACACAGTCTAATTAGTATTAGAGGAGTACACAAGTAAAATTTTGTGAAGATAGCACTTATCGTTTAATTCTGTGGGTGTGCTCAAAGTGAGCACACTGATTGAATAGCGCTTCGAAAAGAGTGCTGAAACGAGCATTGTTGTCAATAAACTGACCGATGAGATACGGAGAAACAAAGAATACAGACTCTCCCAGTTGTCCTAGATGATCGGCGAGCCCGCTCTGGGCACACCTCAGGGTTCGCAGTTTGATTTTAGGCAATATTTCAAGGTAAAAATTTAAAACTAATACAGTTTAATAAGGAGATTAGCATACAGCCAAAAAATAAATAAATAACATAGAAATAATAAATAACACAGAAATTTCAAACAATTCCTTTTATAATTAAGACACAATAACACGCCGAATAAATACTAATTCAGAAGTCAAACAACAAAAATCAGCGTTATATTCAATTAATTGTTTGAAAAAATTAATTGTTTGAAACTTTAAACTTCCCGGCATGGTTCTGCTACGTAGACGATACTTTTACCCTGTTTGAAGGTAATAAAGATGATTTAAATAAAGTTCTTTCAACAATGAATTCTATTGATCCTGCTATTCAGTTCACTTTTGAAACTGAGACTTGCAATTCTCTTCCGTTTCTCGACATTCTGGTCACACGTAACACATCCAATTTCAGTACTACAGTTTACCGTAAACCTTCATCGGTTGCCTTCACCCACACTTTAAATCATGTCATCCGACTAAACAAAAGTTAGCTTCATTTTATTCCTATGTTTTCCGTGCTCTTCAAGTTTGCTCCTCCAAAACTAGCCCTTGATGAAGAAACTAAATTATTTAAAAGCAATAGCTATTGACAGGGGCTTTTCACCCAACATTATTAATCAAGCAGTTAAAAAATTGTCATCTCAACACACTAAAAGCCACACTCTTATTTTAGGAGATTATAAAATTCTGTTGTCATTCCCTTCTTTCCATCAATTAGCTATAAAGTTGCACATATTTGCAGAAATTTAACTTTCGGGTTGTTTATTCTCCCATCAATAAAATTCCAACTTCTATACTCAAAGACCCCATTCCGGATATGAATTCCTGGGGTATTTATAGGATTCCTTGCCAGTGTGGTTTAATTTACATTGGTCAAACTAAGAGAGCCTTAAAATTTTCGCGTCAAAGAACATGAGGCATATGTTAGAAAAAAGGAAACACAGAAGTCTTCTGTTGATCAACATTGTTGGTCCGAAAATCACACTTTCAATTTTTCTGCTGCCAAAATTATTCAAAAAACATCTTCCAATTGGAGAACTGGATTTTCTAGAGGCATTTCACATTCATAAAAATTCTTTCTGTTCTAGTTAACGATCCTAATTCCAATCCATCTTTGCTTTCGGGCTTTTAAAGAAATTATGTTTTAGTTCTGGTTTCATGCCAACAGATGGCGCCACTTGCTTATTCTTGTCCAGGCTTTCTTGTCTTATCTGATTATTATTTCCTATCTTGTTCATTTGCGGTTTTACAGCTCAGGATGGTGGTTCGGTAAAACCATCGAAAGTAATCCTGTGTGAAAATTTTGTGAATATAACGCTGATTTTTGTTGTTTGACTTCTGAATTAGTAATTCCTTTTATACCCTAAAAATAATCTGGAAGATTTCTTTGAAAAATGAAGGTCTTAAAAAACTAAACATGGCTAAAATATATGGACTGGTTTGTGTTGAGCTGCCATCTACTAAATAAAGACGGTTCAGAGTAACCTATAAATCCTTTTTCATTCAATTTTTCTGTGCATACAGAAGGAAAGTTTTAGGTGTGTCCAGACCGGACAAACTGTGCTGCAATGGGTTAAACCGCAAAGACCATGGATCTTTTCTTTGACCCCATTGATGAGTGCTAACTGATGAAAAACATACAACATACAATAGCATCTACTTAAATAAAAGTAATATTACTACAGTCAAACCTCCGCTATGGGGAACCTGTCTTATAACAATAAACTCTTTGGTCCAGTCCAATTTTCTGTACATTCAATGTTATACGTCCTAATTATAAAAATTATAACTACACTCAAATGCATAAAAATTGGATATTACGAACGTTGCGGAGATCTTGGAATAAAAATTGTTTGCGTTCATTTTTTCGGAATTTCTACTGCTTTCGTCTAAACAAAATATTAAATCTTCAATTCATCCTGTTTACAGGATTATAATAACGAAAAACACCTTTAAGTTTGTATGGTTGCTATTATAACCAGACACTAAAGTCTGCAGACCCTACTAGACAGATAGCGAATTATAGTTACGTCCTAAATACTCACAAAGCATTGAAGAATGTTTAAAATAACCTTTATATTTTAGTTCAAATTGTAAAAAAAGGCATAACTTGTGCTACAAACAAAACTACTACCTGTAGCTATTTAACTTTACAATTACAGCCAATTAAATTCTAACGTTGATAAAGCACTCTAAGACTGCACATGCAATAGAATATTTTGGCTCAATATGTATTTTACTGGTGCGCAATTTGACTCATCTCCCAGAGAGAATACTAACTCCAAAATTTTACTTTTACTCAGAACGCAAATTGCTAACAGCAGACGCGACTGCCAGAAGCTCTCTAAGCTAAAGAATCAAAACCCTCAACTTAAATTCATTCAAAGCTAATTTACATTCTGGTGAGGAATACGAAAAGAAAAAGTCATGGTAAAGACCATAATAATAATAACTGGTTATTTGATAAACATGCTTCACAAGATTGTTGTTCTTTTTATCTTCAGCCACACATTCCTCTGTGTTCTAAACGAAATGCTATGCGATGAAGGTGTGTAGAGACATTAGGTGCTTTTTAGAAGCAGGCAAGAGGGAAAATTAGCAATCGCCTTCGCCGGGAATCGAACCACGGACCTCTGGAATACCGTCCCAGCGTGCAGAACCACTACACCTCGAAGACACGCCAAGAAGGTGGGAGAAATACCTTATAGGTGTAATACTCAACTCTTAATAAAGCAGAACACACAGTAAATGTATCTAATATCCTAATACACTGGTGTTCAAAATTGAAATAATTTTCATATTTAACAGATTATCCTTAGAATTGGTTGACAAGCTGTAATGAAATTAGGTGCGGACACAGTATAATACAGAAGCATATACCATATAACAGACATGTACTATACAACAGTTATGGTATACACGCATGATCCATGTGTAAGACTCATGGATGCAGAAAAGTCTGAAACAAAGTCTACAAAATGAAACAGAAAGGACACTGACAGGAATTAAGGCCTCCTCTATCTGGCACAGAGTTCTCACAGTGTGACTTCATACTGCAAATGAGGCAATTTATGAGATTCTGTGGTTAACGTTTCCGCCACTACAGCAAGGTTGTTGTCGAGTGCTTGAGGATTCTAGGAAGGGGAGTTACAATTGTACTCCCAAAAGTGTCCCAGATACATTCTGTAGGATTTATGTCTGGAGGTTTGTTTGGCCAATCCTCATTTTCCAAAAAATCATTCACCAGATTAACCTTACATAGACAAGCATTATTGTCCATAAAAATGAACTAAATGACTAATTGCACTCTTGTAAAGGCGAATACAGAGTTGTAAAATTTCTTCTGTATACCTTGCAGCAGTCACAGAGTCTTGCAGCTGTTTCCCAACATGATGTCTGCTCAGGGCATCAAACCCCTGCGTCATATTGGCAAATGTTGGAGAACAAAAAGCGAATATCTGGTTCCCTCCTAATGAAGGCACGTCGAGAATCAGTAATTAAATTGAAACAAGACTTGTCTGCGAAGGGAACGGCTTCCCACTAACGCAGGCTTCAATGTTCGCTGCGCAAGTCAATGTTCCCTGCGCCATGTTGTATGCACTTTCTTGCCACAGGAGTCAGAGGGACGCAAGCAACAGGTTTTCTTGCAAACAGATGAGATCTTAAGTCCTCAGTTGGCCTTTTCAGGCGTGTAGTTGAGTTCATTGCATTTTGATGAATCATAACGTTCGTTCTCGTAATCTGATGGATGATTTTCTAAAAAGTGAGTATATTAACTGAATGGATTGTCCAACGAAATCTTCAGACATAAACCTAAGGAATATATCTAGAATGCTTCTGAGAGGGCAACCGGAACTCGTTTTCCGTCTCTCAGAGCAATCCAAGACTTGAAAAAACTTTGTTACAGAAGTGCAACCGGCTGCCCCAGGAACTAAAACCCTGTCTTTTTCTCACTATGAAATCATGATGTGAAAATTGTATGACTGCTAAAAGGGACCAAACCTTTTATTGTCTTCTTTTTATGTTTGATCTTGCAACCTCTCTTTTAAACCTTCCTAAGTTGATGTGATTTACGCACTAACATGCGTGTTTACCGTAAGCGTTGTTTGGTATGTTTTTTGTATATCAACTTATGTCCTTACCAAACTTCATTTAAATCTGTCCATCATTTGAGACAATCGGCCGAATGTGAAAATTCTCTTAATATTGAACACCAGTGTATGTCACGCACTCAGTGAAAGTTCCATTGGCACAAAGACCTTGAACTAGTTCTTTGATTTCATTCGAGTTCTTTAATTAAGCTGTCTTCAAATCCGATGCTTATTTATAATTTGTTAAATGAGAATTTAAACTAGAAATATGTTACTGGAGAGGCAGGTCTAAGCCATAGCTTTTATGCTGAGTTTAATTTATTGTGCAAAATTATTAAAAGTACAGTAAAACTGCTAAACAACGAAAATGACATGTTCTAATTACACATAATAGTAACTGTAACAAACTAGTAAT